CCCCAAAAGCAAAACCCACAAATAGCAAGAGATCCCACCTAAAATTAAAACATCAGTGGCAGGAAAAATCCTCCAAAAATAAAAACCATAAATAGCAGGAGACTCCCCCAAAAACAAAAACCATCAGTGGCAGAGGGAGAAMCCCCAAAAACAAAAYSYRCAAAYAGCAGGAGATCTCATCTAAAAGAAAACCCACAAACAGCAGGAAACCCCCTCAAAAACAAAACCCATAAATAGCAAGAGACCCACCTAAAACAAAACCTACAAACAGCAGGAGACCTTTCCAAAAACAAAATGCACAAACAGACGRAGACCCGCCARACAYAAAAACCATCAGTGGCAGGGGAAGACACCCTTGAAACAAAAACCATAAATAGCAGAAAAACCCACCTATAAGAAAAACAATCAATGGGAGGAGAGCCCACCCAAAATAAAAACCATCCATGGCAGGAAGAGACCCCCTTAAAACAAAACCCACAAACAGCAGGAGACTGTCCCAAAAACAAAACTCATAAATAGCAGAAGACTCTCCCAAAAGCAGAACCCATCAGTGACAGGGGGAAATCCCTCAAGAACCCCACCTAAAATAAAAACCATAAATATCAGGAAATTGCACCTAAAAGAAAACTCACAAATAGCAGGAGACCCCACCTAAAAGAAAACCCACAAACAGCAGGAGACCCTCCCAAAAACAAAACCTATAAATAGCAGGAGATCCCCTAAAAACAAAACCCACAAACAGATGGAGACCCCGTTTTCAACCAACTCCACAAAGAGCAGAAGCAGCTCCGTGTGAGGGGTGCCTGGGGAGGATTTTGGGGTGAAATGGGGGTGTTTCAGCTGTGCCTGACCCCATTTGTCCACCTGCAGGTGGTCGGAGCGCAATCACCGCGAGAAGATCGGGGTGCACGTGCTGTTCGAGCAGGTTTTGAACATGGAGCCCTATTGCTGCGGGGCCGCCCCCAACACCCACACGTGTGTGTACGACCTCTCGGCTGTGGTGATGCACCACGGCAAAGGCTTTGGCTCAGGGCACTACACAGCCTATTGTTACAACACCGAGGGAGGTGGGTACCCAAAACACAGCCCTAAAAAGCCCGACTGTAAAAAACCCAACTCTGAAAAACCACTGAAAACCTAACCATAACACCAAAAAAACCCAATTCTGAAAAACCATTGAAAACCTTACCCTAACCCAAAAAACCCAACCCCAAAAAACCCAACCCCCAAACACCCAACCCTAAAAAACCCAATCCTAAAAAACTCGACCCCAAAAAACCCAACCCTAAAAAACCCAGCCCTAAAAAATCCAGCCCTAAAAAACCCAACCCCAAAAAACCTAGCTCCGAAAAACCATAAACCTAAACCCTAACCCAACCCCTAAACCCTAACCCTAAACCCTAACCCAACCCTAAACCCTAAACCCAGTCCTAACCCACCCACACGTGTGTGTACGACCTCTCGGCTGTGGTGATGCACCACGGCAAAGGCTTTGGCTCAGGGCACTACACAGCCTATTGCTACAACACCGAGGGAGGTGGGTACCCAAAACACAACCCTAAAAAACCCAACCGTAAAAAACCCAACTCTGAAAAACCATTGAAAACCTAACCCTAACCCCAAAAAAAACCAACCCCAAAAAAACATCAAAAACCTTACCCTAACCCCAAAAAACCCAACACAAAAAACCCAACCCCAAAAAACCCAACCCAAAAAACCCAACCCCAAAAAACCCAACCCTAAAAAACTCAACCCTAAAAAACTCAACCCTAAAAAACCCAACTGTAAAAACCCAAACCCAAAAAACCCAACCCTGAAAAACCATCAAAAACCTAACCCTAACCCTAAACCCTAACCCAACCCTAAACCCTAAACCCAACCCTAACCCACCCACACGTGTGTGTACGACCTCTCGGCTGTGGTGATGCCCCACAGCAAAGGCTTTGGCTCAGGGCACTACACAGCCTATTGCTACAACACCGAGGGAGGTGTGTATCTGAAAACAACACCCCAAAACACCCAACCCAAAAAAACCTAACCCTAAAAAATCCGACCCCAAAAAACCCCAAAAAACCTAACTCTAAAAAACCCAAAAAAACCAACTCTGAAAAACAAAACCCCAAAAATTCCAACTCCAAAAAACCAACAAAAACCTAACCCTAAAAAACCCAACTCCAAAAAATCCAACTCCAAAAAACCATCAAAACCCTAACCCAACCGCAAGAAACCCAACCCCAAAAAACCCAACGCCAAAAAACACAACCCTGAAA